CACCATTATCACCACTAACATCACCATCACCACTAACATCACCATCACTATCATCACTACCATCATCACCATCACGAGTGGATAATCGTCCTCCTCATCGCTGTAGAGGTGATGGACATCACTACCATCACCTCCACTATCATCACCATCATCACCGTCATCACCACCATCAACACCATCATCACCATCACCACCATCATCATCACCACCATCACCACCATCACCATCACGAGTGGATGATCGTCCTCCTCATCGCTGTAGAGGTGATGGACATCACCATCATCATCACTACCATCATCACCATCATCACAATCATCACCATCACCACCATCATCACCATCATCACTGTCACGAGTGGATGATCGTCCTACTCATAGCTGTAGAGGTGATGGACATCACTACCATCACCTCCACCATCATCACCACTAACATCACCATCACCACCATCATCACCGTCACCACTAACATCACCATCATCACCATCACCAGCATCATCACTACCATCACCATCACCACCATCACTACCATCCCTACCATCACCACCACCATCACTACCATCATCACCATCATCACCATCACGAGTGGATGATCGTCCTCCTCATCGCTGTAGAGGTGATGGACATCACTACCATCACCTCCACCATCATCACCACTAACATCACCATCACCACCATCACCATCACTACCATCACTACCATCACCACCATCACGAGTGCATGATCGTCCTCCTCATCGCTGTAGAGGTGATGGACATCACTACCATCACCATCATCACCATCACCACTACTAACATCATCACCATCATCACCACTAACATCACCATCACCACCATCACCACCATCACTATCACTACCATCACCATCATCACCATCACGACCATCACTACCATCATCACCATCACGAGTGGATGATCCTCCTCCTCATCGCTGTAGAGGTGATGGACATCACTACCATCACCATCATCATCACTACCATCACTACCATCATCACCATCATCACCATCACTACCATCACTACCATCACCATCATCACCATCACGAGTGGATGATCGTCCTCCTCATCGCTGTAGAGGTGATGGACATCACTAACATCACCTCCACCATCATCACCATCACTAACATCACCATCATCACCACTAACATCACCATCACCACTAACATCACCACCATCACCATCACTACCATCACCACCATCATCACCATCACGAGTGGATGATCGTCCTCCTCATCGCTGTAGAGGTGATGGACATCACTACCATCACCATCATCACCATCATCACCATCACCACTAACATCACCATCACCACCATCACCATCACTACCATCACCTCCACCATCATCACCACTAACATCACCATCACCATCATCACCATCATCACCATCATCACTACCATCATCACCATCATCACCACTAACATCACCATCACCACCATCACCACCATCACCATCATCACCATCACTACCATTACCACCACTAACATCACCACCATCACCATCACTACCATCACCATCACCACCATCACGAGTGGATGATCGTCCTCCTCATCGCTGTAGAGGTGATGGACATCACTACCATCACCATCATCACCATCACTACCATCATCACCATCATCACCACTAACATCACCATCACCACCATCACCATCACTACCATCACTACCATGATCACCATTATCACCACTAACATCACCATCACCACTAACATCACCATCACTATCATCACTACCATCATCACCATCACGAGTGGATAATCGTCCTCCTCATCGCTGTAGAGGTGATGGACATCACTACCATCACCTCCACTATCATCACCATCATCACCGTCATCACCACCATCAACACCATCATCACCATCACCACCATCATCATCACCACCATCACCACCATCACCATCACGAGTGGATGATCGTCCTCCTCATCGCTGTAGAGGTGATGGACATCACCATCATCATCACTACCATCATCACCATCATCACAATCATCACCATCACCACCATCACGAGTGGATGATCGTCCTCCTCATCGCTGTAGAGGTGATGGACATCACTACCATCACCTCCACCATCATCACCACTAACATCACCATCACCACCATCACCATCACTACCATCACTACCATCACCACCATCACGAGTGCATGATCGTCCTCCTCATCGCTGTAGAGGTGATGGACATCACTACCATCACCATCATCACCATCACCACTACTAACATCATCACCATCATCACCACTAACATCACCATCACCACCATCACCACCATCACTATCACTACCATCACCATCATCACCATCACGACCATCACTACCATCATCACCATCACGAGTGGATGATCCTCCTCCTCATCGCTGTAGAGGTGATGGACATCACTACCATCATCACCATCATCACCATCATCACCATCATCACTACCATCACCATCATCACCATCACTACCATCATCACCATCACGAGTGGATGATCGTCCTCCTCATCGCTGTAGAGGTGATGGACATCACTACCATCACCTCCACCATCATCACCACTACCATCACCACCATCACCATCATCACCATCACGAGTGGATGATCGTCATCCTCATCGCTGTAGAGGTGATGGACATCACTACCATCACCTCCACTATCATCACCATCATCACCGTTACCACTAACATTACCATCACCACCATCACCATCATCACCATCACGACCATCACTACCATCATCACCATCACAAGTGGATGATCCTCCTCCTCATCGCTGTAGAGGTGATGGACATCACTACCATCACCTCCACTATCATCACCATCATCACCGTCACCACTAACATCACCATCACCACCATCACCATCATCACCATCACGACCATCACTACCATCATCACCATCACGAGTGGATGATCGTCCTCCTCATCGCTGTAGAAGTGATGGACATCACTAACATCACTAACATCACCATCATCACCATCACTACCATCATCACCATCATCACCATCATCACCATCACTACCATCATCACCATCACGAGTGGATGATCGTCCTCCTCATCGCTGTAGAGGTGATGGACATCACTACCATCACCTCCACCATCATCACCACTAACATCACCATCACCACCATCACCATCACTACCATCACTACCATCACCACCATCACGAGTGCATGATCGTCCTCCTCATCGCTGTAGAGGTGATGGACATCACTACCATCACCATCATCACCATCACCACTACTAACATCATCACCATCATCACCACTAACATCACCATCACCACCATCACCACCATCACTATCACTACCATCACCATCATCACCATCACGACCATCACTACCATCATCACCATCACGAGTGGATGATCCTCCTCCTCATCGCTGTAGAGGTGATGGACATCACTACCATCATCACCATCATCACCATCATCACCATCATCACTACCATCACCATCATCACCATCACTACCATCATCACCATCACGAGTGGATGATCGTCCTCCTCATCGCTGTAGAGGTGATGGACATCACTACCATCACCTCCACCATCATCACCACTACCATCACCACCATCACCATCATCACCATCACGAGTGGATGATCGTCATCCTCATCGCTGTAGAGGTGATGGACATCACTACCATCACCTCCACTATCATCACCATCATCACCGTCACCACTAACATCACCATCACCATCATCACCATCACGACCATCACTACCATCATCACCATCACAAGTGGATGATCCTCCTCCTCATCGCTGTAGAGGTGATGGACATCACTACCATCACCTCCACTATCATCACCATCATCACCGTCACCACTAACATCACCATCACCACCATCACCATCATCACCATCACGACCATCACTACCATCATCACCATCACGAGTGGATGATCGTCCTCCTCATCGCTGTAGAAGTGATGGACATCACTAACATCACTAACATCACCATCATCACCATCACTACCATCATCACCATCATCACCATCATCACCATCACTACCATCATCACCATCACGAGTGGATGATCGTCCTCCTCATCGCTGTAGAGGTGATGGACATCACTACCTCCACCATCACCACCATCACTACCATCACCTCCACCATCATCACCATCATCTTCACTACCATCACGAGTGGGTGATCGTCCTCCTCATCGCTGTAGAGGTGATGGACATCACTACCATCACCATCATCACCACTAACATCACCATCACGAGTGGATGATCGTCCTCCTCATCGCTGTAGAGGTGATGGACATCACTACCATCACCATCATCACCATCACTACCATCACCTCCACCATCAACACCATCACGAGTGGATGATCGTCCTCCTCATCGCTGTAGAGGTGATGGACATCACTACCATCATCATCACTACCATCACCTCCACCATCATCACCATCACGAGTGGATGATCGTCCTCATCACTGTAGAGGTGATAGACATCACTAACATCACCATCATCATCACTACTAACATCACCACCACTACCATCACCATCACGAGTGGATGATCGTCCTCCTCATCGCTGTAGAGGTGATGGACATCACTAACATCACCATCATCACCATCACTACCATCATCACCTCTACCATCACCATCATCACCATCATCACTACCATCATCACCACCATCACCATCATCACCACCAACACCACCATCATCACTACCATCACCTCCACCATCAACACCATCACGAGTGGATGATCGTCCTCCTCATCGCTGTAGAGGTGATGTACATCACTACTATCACCTCCACCATCATCATCAGCATCACTACCATCAACACCATCACTACCATCACCACCATCATCACCATCACCACCATCATCACCACCATCACCACCATCACCACCACCATCACCACCATCACCACCACCATCATCATCACCACCATCACCACCACCATCACCACCATCAGCACCATCACCACCATCACCACCATCAACACCATCATCACTATCACGAGTGGATGATCGTCTTTCTCATCGCCCTAGAGGTGATGGACATTGCTACCATCACTACCACCATCACCATCACTACCATCACCACTACCATCACTACCATCATCACCAGCACCAGCATCACCACCATCACCACTACCATCACTACCACTATCATCATCACTACCATCACTACCATCATGACCACCACCACCATCACCACCACCATCACCACCACCACCACCACCACGTGTGTATCTATGTGTGAGTGTGTCTATGTGTGTCTGGCAAAACAACCCCCTACCTCCTCGCGGTGCCGGACTGGCAACTCTGTCGTGGACAGTGCTGTGGGGGGAGGTCCAATTCCGATTGGCTCCTCCCCTCATGGCGTCTATGACCACCACAGGGGCTAAACGGGGGCTCTGGACGGGTGCGAGGGGCTGGTAACCCCTCCACCTTCAATTAATTACCACGAAACCACGACTAAATTATCTAACTAATAAGCTTGTGCCGGAGGCCCCGGGGGGACAGGCGTCTATGACGTCTCCTGGCCAAACCCCAATTGGCGGAGCCAGGAGATTGAATCTCAACCCTCGGGGCTCCTCCAGAAACAACGAAAAGCCACTTCGTGTGGCCACGTGGAATGTTCGAACACTCACTGCAGAGTTGAGGCTGCCACTCTTCTGTCGGGAGCTGGACCGGTACCGCCTGGATCTCTGTGGCATTCAGGAGGTCCAGTTGACCAGTTCTGGCTCCTACCTCCATGAGGGGTGGACAGTCCTCTACTCGGGGCAGGAGACTGCCAAACAACAGGGAGTGGCTCTTCTTTTGAACAAAAGAATGAAGGGTGCGTGGGAGCGTGGCGGTGAGGTGTGGGAAGCTGTAAGCCCCAGGCTACTTTGGGCTCGCCTTCCCATCAACCGGAGGCGAGGAGTGGTGGTCGTGGTTACTTATGCCCCCACCGAAAACGAACATCCGTGGAGGGATGCAGGCAAAGCCGAAGAGTCAGATGCCTTCTATGACCTCCTGTCACAGGTGCTGTGACTAAACTGGCACCTCGGGATAGAGTCATCATGTTGGGTGACTTCAATGCCCGAGTTGGTCATGATGCTGGCACCTCGTCTGGAGTGATTGGAGGGCATGGGCCAGATCAGCTCAATAACAACGGTAGGAGGCTGCTAGATTTTTGTGCAGCCCATGGGCTTGTAATTACCAACACGCTGTTCCGGCATCGGCGCATCCACACAACATCATGGATATATGCCGGGTCCAAGCAAGAACATCTGGTGGACTATATAGTGAAGGACCAGCGGATGCGAGCCCATGTCCTTGACACCAGGACCTACCGTGGAGCTGATCTGCCCTCTGACCATCGACTTGTCATCTGTAAGATGCGCCTGCCAGAGAATGAGGAGGCTTACCGCAACCTTTGCTCGGAGGTTCGGAGAGCCGTGAGGCGCTGCAAGGATGGGTGGTGGTCGCGGGTTGCTGAGGAGATGGAGTCTGCCTTAGTGGCCCTTGATCACAAATCTCTATTTAACTCCATCAATAAAGTAACCTGCAGCGCCACACCTATTACCATCATTAGGGGAAAAAGTGGTGTTCCAATCTCCGACCCACAGGAACAGGTTTGCAGATTTGCTGAGCATTTCTGTGAGGTCCTGGGGGAGGGGAAACCCCTCAGCCTAGAAAACATCGTGGCACAAAGTGGGGATGACCCTGCTGATGCTGCGGTGCCTCAAATTTTGGAAGAAGTCACCCCCTGTGAGTGGCTGGCTGAGGTGCCATCTGTTGAGGAAGTACTGAAGGCGATCCGGAGTCTGAGACCAGGAAAGGCACCGGGCAGAGATGATCTCCCAAGCGAAATGCTGAGGGAGGGTGGCGTTTGTGCACAGACTGCCCTATATGACATCGTAACAACAGTCTGGACCACTGGATGGGTTCTGCAGGATTGGAAGGATGCCCTGGTGGTCCCCCTCTTTAAGAAGGGGGACCGCACAGACTGTAACAACTACAGGGGCATCTCACCCCTCAGTGTGCCGGGAAAGGCCCTGGCAAAGGATTATTCAACATCGCCTTGCCAGGCATGCTGAGGAGAGGCTTGCAGAGTCCCAATGCGGTTTCAGGAAAGGGCGGTCCTGCACAGATGCCATATTTTCCGTCCGTCTGCTACAGCAGAGGTGTAGGCAATTCCAGCAAGACCTACATCTCTGCTTTATTGACCTGGTCAAGGCCTATGATACCATCAGTAGGCCTGGGCTCTGGGTTGTTCTTCGTGCTTTTGGAGTCCCTGACGCCCTGCGCACGATCATTATGGACCTTCATGATGGTGAGCGGGCCCGGGTAAAACTACGTGGTCGGGAGTCAGAGCCATTCCCTGTACACCTTGGGGTGCGACAGGGATGTCCTCTGGCTCCCACATTATTTAACATCTATTTTGACCACGTAGTTCGTGAAGCCTTCAATAGCTGTACCGGGGGAATCTCCATTTGGTACAGATATAATGGGAGGCTGATCGATGCCCGGGTGTGGTCAAGGGATGGCTCCCTATTGCTCAACCACGTTATGTATGCTGATGATTTGGTAATAGTTGCTCATTCTGAGGAGGAGTTGGAGACGCTACTGGAGCATGCCACTAAGAGATGGGGCCTTACCATCAGCTCCACCAAAACTAAGCACCTGCCTGGGTATTTTGTACCATCGGACACTCCACCCCCACAACTCTCAATCGGTGATGGGGCAGTTGTGGAGAGAGTGGAGAGTTTCCCATACCTGGGGCAGTGTGCTTATGACCGGCTCCAGTTTAACAGCAGAAGTCTCACTCCGAATCAGTCAAGCGGCAATATCTTTTCATCGGTTGCGTAACGCTGTGTGGAAGCTACCTGGTCTGTCGCTCCGCACTAAGCTTCAGGTCTTCTCGGCCATGGTCATTCCCTCCCTTCTCTATGCTTGCAAAACGTGGACCCCACTAATGGAACATCTTTGCCGGTTAGAAACATTTAGGCTGGCCTGCCTACGATCCATCCTGGGTTTAACCAGGCTGGATTGTGTGAGGAGCTCACAAATCCTTGAAAGATCTGGGCAAGGTCCCATCGGTGAGCTCCTCCGGCGGGCAAGGCTGCGATGGCTGGGTCATGTAGCCCGCATGCCCAGCCACCGCATGCCGAACAGCTTTTGTTCGGCCGGATCGAGGGGGCTAAACGGGCACGGCACGGGCTAGAGAAGAGATGGAGTGATGTGGTACAGGAGGACGTGGAGCTGAGTGGACTTGCCGATGACTGGTACCAGCGGTGTCAAGATCGGCCTCTGTGGAGGAGGCTCGTGAAGGACGCTACTGGGCAGTTGGAGGCAGTCGCCCTCCAACAACAAAGGAGGGCGGAGGAGCGATGCTCACAACAACGAGCGGAGCGCCGGGTGGCTAAAGCACAGCAGGTTGGCACAGTAGGGGGCACAGGTGGTGCATCAGCCAGTCATCTCAGTCATCTCAGTCATCTTAGTCATTTGAGCGGTGGCACTTGGGTCTGCCCCGTGACCTCCTGCCAGCGAGCGTTCGACACTTCACGTGGCCTCAAGGTGCACATGGTCTGGCACAAGCGTCGTGGTGACGTCACCGCCACTTAGTGGCGAATGGCGGGTTTTGTTGTTGTGTCTATGTGTGTGTCTATGTGTGTGTGTTTCTCTATGTGTGTGTGTTTCTCTATGTGTGTGTGTCTAGTTGTGTGTGTTGTTGTTGATGTTGTTGATGTTGTTGTTGATGTTGTTGTTGTCTTGCAGGTTCTTTTCGAGGTGGTTCGAATGTTTTGAAGGCCACGGACACAAAGACAAAGATCCCCCAGGTAGCCTGTTGCAGGTTGTAGGGGCAAGTGCTGTTAGTAGCGAGTAGCAGCACCTACACACAGAGACAAAGATTCCCCAGGTAGTCTCTAACAGGCTGTAGGGGCAAGTGCTGTTAGTAGCGAGTAGCAGCACCTACACACAGACAAAGATCCCCCAGGTAGCCTCTAGCAGGCTGTAGCGAGTAGCAGCAGCGCCTATGAAAGTCAGCACCACGCCCTACACACAGTGACACCACACACAGACACACAGACACACACGCAGACACACACAGACACACAACAACACTCAACAACCGCCATTCGCCACTAAGTGGCGGTGACGTCACCACGATGCTTGTGCCAGGCTAGGTGCACCTTGAGGCCACGTGAAGTGTCGACGCCCGCTGGCAGGACGTCACGGGGCAGACCCAGCAGGTGCCACGGGTCGACTGACTGAGATGACTGGCTGATGCACCACCTGTGCCCCCTACTGTGCCAACCTGCTGTGCTTTAGCCACCCGGCGCTCCGCTCGTTGTTCTGAGCGTCGCTCCTCCACCCTCCGTTGTTGTTGGAGGGCGACTGCCTCCAACTGCCCAGTAGCGTCCTTCACGAGCCTCCTCCACAGAGGTCGATCTTGACACCGCTGGTACCAGTCATCGGCAAGTCCACTCAGCTCCACGTCCTCCTGTACCACATCGCTCCATCTCTTCTCTAGCCCGTGCCGCTCCCGCTTAGCCCCCTCGATCCGGCCAAACAAAAGCTGTTCGGCATGCGGTAGCTGGGCATGCGGGCTACGTGACCCAGCCATCGCAGCCTTGCCTGCCGGAGGAGCTACCAGGTAGCTTCTAGCAGGCTGTAGGGGCAAGTGCTGCGAGTAGCGAGTAGCAGCACCTACACATACACAGACAAAGATCTCCCAGGTAGCATCTAGCAGGCTGTAGGGGCTAGTGCTATTAGTAGCGAGTAGCAGTACCTACACACACAAAGATCCCCCAGGTAGCATCTAGCAGGCTGTAGGGGCAAGTGCTGTCAGTAGCGAGTAGCAGCACCTACACACACAGACAAAGATCCCCCAGGTAGCCTCTAGCAGGCTGTAGGGGCAAGTGCTGTTACTAGCGATTAGCAGCACCTACACACACAGAGGGGGTGGGTGGCTACCAGCACCACCCCCGGCCGCCTTTGTCTCACAGACACACAGACACACAGACACACACACACACACACGTTACCTGTATAAAATATACCTGAGAGCCAGAAATCATTATGATTGAGAGGGGGTCAAATACTTATTTCCCTCATTAAAAAATGAATCTATTTATAACATTTTTGACATGCGTTTTTCTGGATTTTGTTGTTGTTATTCTGTCTCTCACTGTTTAAATAAACCTAACATTAAAATTATAGACTGATCATTTCTTTGTCAGTGGGCAAACGTACAAAATCAGCAGGGGATCAAATACTTTTTTCCCTCACTGTATGGGACCTTGCCCAGATCTTTCAAGGATTTGTGAGCTCCTCACACAATCCAGCCTGGTTAAACCCAGGATGGATCGTAGGCAGGCCAGCCTAAATGTTTCTAACCGGCGAAGATGTTCCATTAGGGGGGTCCACGTTTCGCAAGCGTAGAGAAGGGAGGGAATGACCGTGGCCGAGAAGACCTGAAGCTCAGTGCGGAGCGACAGACCAGGTAGCTTCCACACAGCGTTACGCAACCGATGCAAAGATATTGCCGCTCGACTGATTCGGAGTGAGACTTGTGCTGTTAAACTGGAGCCGGTCATAAGCACACTGCCCAGGTATGGTAAGTTGTCTACTCTCTGCACAACTGCCCCATCACCGATTGGGAGTTGTGGGGGTGGAGTGTCCGATGGTACAAAATACCCAGGCAGGTGCTTAGTTTTGGTGGGGCTGATGGTTAGGCCCCACCACTTAGTGGCACGCTCCACTCTCAGCAGCAGCGTCTCCAACTCCTCCTCTGAGTGAGCGGCAATTACCAAATCATCAGCATACATAACGTGGTTGAGCAATAGGGAGCCATCCCTTGACCGCACCCGGGTATCGATCAGCCTCCCATTATATCTGTACCATATTGAGATTCCCCCGGTACAGCTATTGAAGGCTTCACGAACTACGTGGTCAAAATAGATGTTAAATAATGTGGGAGCCAGAGGACATCCCTGTCGCACCCCAAGGTGTACAGGGAATGGCTCTGACTCCCGGCCACGTAGTTTTACCCGAGCCCGCTCACCATCATGAAGGTCCTTAATGTTCGTGAGCAGAGGGTCAGGTATTCCAAAAGCACGAAGAACAACCCAGAGCCCAGGCCTACTGATGGTATCATAGGCCTTGACCAGGTCAATAAAGCAGAGATGTAGGTCTTGTTGGAATTCCCTACACCTCTGCTGTAGCAGACGGACAGAGAATATGGCATCTGTGCAGGATCGCCCTTTCCTGAAACCGCATTGGGGCTCCGCAAGCCTCTCCTCAGCGTGCCTGGCAAGGCGATGTTGAATAATCCTTGCCAGGACCTTTCCCGGCACACTGAGGAGTGAGATGCCCCTGTAGTTGTTACAGTCTGTGCGGTCCCCCTTAAAGAGGGGACCACCAGGGCATCCTTCCAATCCTACGGAACCCGTCCAGTGGTCCAGACTGTTGTTATGATGTCATGTAGGGCAGTCTGTGCACAAACGCCACCCTCCCTCAGCATTTCGCTAGGGAGATCATCTCTGCCCGCTGCCTTTCCTGGTCTCAGACTCCGGATCGCCTTCAGTTCTTCCTCAACAGATGGTACTTCAGCCAGCCACTCACAGAGGGTGACTTCCTCCTCCACAGACACACACACAGACACACACAAAGACACACACAAAGATCCCCCATATAGCCTTAACAGACTGTAGGGGCAAGTGCTGTTAGCGAGCACCTCTGAAGGCCAGAACGGTACACGAGGGGGTGGGTGGCCAGCACCACGCCCGACCGCCTTAGTCTCCCCAGTGGCAATGTTTTTTCCACCGCACCAGGTATCATTTGAGGCTGAGTCGACCTAGGGGAGGCCCAGGACCGGTTCAGATAATCGCCACTCGTGTTGGCCGTGAGCGGGAATCGAACCCGGGTCGCCAGGTTCATAGCGCAGCGTAGCGCTAACCGCTACACTTCCGCTCCCCACACACACACAGACACACACACAGACACACACAAAGACACACACACAGACACACACACAGACACACACACAAAGACACACACAGACACACACCACTTAGTAGCAGTGACATCAACACGGTGCCTGTGCCAGGCTAGGTGCACCAGGAGGAGGTCACGGGACAGACCCTGGAGGTGCTATGGGTTGTACTGCTGTGGTGGTGGTGATTGTGGTGGTGGTTACTCATATAGACCCACAGACTCACCACACAGAGACCCATACACTCACCACACAGAGACCCACAGACTCACCACACAGAGACCCACAGACTCACCACACAGAGACCCACAGGCTCATCACACAGAGACCCACAGACTCACCACACAGAGATCCACAGACTCACCACACAGAGACCCACGGACTCATCACACAGAGACCCACAGACTCACCACACAGAGACCCACGGACTCACCACACAGAGACCCACAGACTCACCACACAGAGACCCACAGACTCACCACACAGAGACCCACAGACTCACCACCACACAGAGACCCACAGACTCACCACACAGAGACCCACAGACTCACCACACAGAGACCCACAGACTCACCACACAGAGACCCACAGCCTCACCACACAGAGACCCACAGACTCACCACACAGAGACCCACAGACTCACCACACAGAGACCCACAGACTCACCACACAGAGACCCACAGACTCACCACACAGAGACCCACAGACTCACCACACAGAGACCCACAGACTCACCACCACACAGAGACCCACAGACTCACCACACAGAGACCCATAGACTCACCACAGAGAGATCCACAGACTCACTACACAGAGACCCATAGACTCACCACACAGAGACCCACAGACTTACCATCACACAGAGACCCACAGACTCACCACACAGAGACCCACAGACTCACCACACAGAGACCCACAGACTTACTACACAGAGACCCACAGACTCACCACACAGAGACCCACAGACTCACCACACAGAGACCCACAGACTCGCCACACGGAGACCCACAGACTCACCACCACACAGAGACCCACAGACTCACCACACAGAGACCCACAGACTCACCACACAGAGACCCACAGACTCACCACACAGAGACCCACAGACTCGCCACACGGAGACCCACAGACTCACCACCACACAGAGACCCACAGACTCGCCACACGGAGACCCACAGACTCACCACCACACAGAGACCCACAGACTAACCACACAGAGACCCACAGACTCACCACACAGAGACCCACAGACTCACCACACAGAGACCCACAGACTCGCCACACGGAGACCCACAGACTCACCACCACATAGAGACCCACAGACTCACCACACAGAGACCCACAGACTCACCACACAGAGACCCACAGACTCATCACACAGAGACCCACAGACTCACCACACAGAGACCTATAGACTCACCACACAGAGACCCACAGACTCACCACACAGAGACCCACAGCCTCACCACACAGAGACCCACAGACTCACCACACAGAGACCCACAGACTCACCACACAGAGACCCACAGCCTCACCACACAGAGACCCACAGACTCACCACCACACAGAGACCCACAGACTCACCACCACACAGAGACCCACAAACTCACCACACAGAGACCCACAAACTCACCACACAGAGACCCGTAGTCTGTCTGTGTGTCCGCCTGTCTGTCCGCCTGTCTGTCCCGAGCCGCCCGTTCCGCCTGTAGGACAACAAAATGAAATAAAAGTGAAATCCTCCCGAGTGAAAGTTCCTCGCTGGGCCATTGGCAGTCCCGCGTGAAATTCCTCACTGTGACCTCCCCGTGACCCTGGCGACGATGACCACAAAGAGACGCGGGGGGGGGGGGGTCACGGGGGGGGGGCAGCGGGGGGAGGGGGGAGCTGGGTGGGAGGGAGCGAGGTGAGAATGACATCCTTTGACT